AGGCAATATTGTGTCTAAAACGTAAGTGTCTTAATATTAAATTCTGGTTTATTGAACTGCTGTATAAAATCAATATCACATTTGTAATCATGCTGCTTTCTGGTGGAAAAAAACGTCAGTCTTTGCGTGATACTGAATAACTATATGAAATAATATAAATATATATATTTCTGCACCCATATCTTGAATTTTGTGATTCTAAATGCATTTTAATAAACTGAATCAAGCAGTGGAACAACGCGCACTGGTCTAACCTACTAGACTTCCTATTGCATTAGCTAAACTTTAGCTTACATGGTACCTTAACTCTCATGAGTCATGGATGTTAGCAAGACAAATTAACTATATTTGCCTTTTGTCTTTTGGATAATTAGCTGTAAATTCGAGGCACAGGTAGCTTAGTCTTTTGTCCATCGCCACTCACCTCCACACCAAGACAAACACAGCTGGAAAGTGAGGGAGGCTCTCTGCCTGTATGTGATGTGCATGTGCTGATCGTGCTACACTGCTGTGCTGCATGAAGACGCAGAGGGGAGAAAGGCATCGGAACTCGACAGTCTCTCGACCTGACCTGATATTTAGATTTTTTATTTGTTTGACAGGGAAAGCTGTGTGCAAACAGAAACACACACATGCATACATATATACATAAATTCATTTATTTAAAAAAAAAAAAAAACTCCCCAGAAAAAAGGCCACTTGCTCTCGAGGAAGGAAAAGGGCAGGTGCTCAAGCCCCCTTTGATGTCTACGTGTGCACGTGCCTGTGTATTTATATATGTACAGTATGTATGTGTATCTGCATAAGTGTGTGTGTCTGTGTGTGTGTGTGTGTGTGTCTGTGTGTATCTGCATGAGTGTGTGTGTGTCTGTGTGTGTGTGTGTATCTGCATGAGTGTGTGTGTCTGTGTATCTGCATGAGTGTGTGTGTCTGTGTATCTGCATGAGTGAGTGTGTGTGTGTGTCTGTGTGCGTGTGTGTATCTGCATGAGCGTACAAGCTTATAAATCATCCACAATGATTTTTTTTTGAGAATGTAAAAATGCCTGCAGTTTTCTGTGAGGGGTAGGTTTAGGTGTAGGGTTGGTGTAAGGGGATAGAAACTAGAGTTTGTACAATATAAAAACCATTACGGCTATGGAGAGTCCCCACAAGGATAGTAAACCAGACGTGTGTGTGTGTGTGTATCTGCAAATGTATGTGTCACCAAATGTATGTGTCTTTGTGTGTGTGTGTGTGTGTGTGTGTCTGCAGAGGTTGACAGAAAGGTTAGAATCTACTGCGGTCAGAGCTGTCAAACACACACAAACATGACGGGATGAGACGAGACTCAAATGAACACAGAGAGACAATGAAGACCTGTTCACTATTACGATATTCATAAATACATCACCCCTGGTTGGAGGAATATTACGCTGCCATGGTGACGGGCAACAGAACCTGAGCTGCTGATGCTTCTAATCGTTCTAAATTTAAAAGAGCAACAGAGTTCACACCACAACTACAACAATAATACCACAGAGGAATGATATTATGGACTTTTATCTCACAATTTGAACTTTTTTTCTGGCAATTCTGATTATATATTCTATACATTCTATTTTTCACAATTCAGTTTTTTCCCTAGCAATATCAGGAAAGAAAAATCATAATTCTGAAAAATAAAGTCAGAATTACAAGAGATATATAAAGATATAAACTGGAAATTCTAAAAAGAAAAGTTGGAATTGTAAGATTAAAAAAAAGATTTAAAAAATTTTTGGAATTTTTTATAAATAAAAATGATACAACTGGAATTACTTTCAAAGTGTTTTTTTCTTCCAGCTGATGAATGATAATAACACTGACAGCCAATAAGAATCCAGCCTGTTTTAAAGAGCTTGAGCAGACGGCGAAACTGCAGCACACTTATAATAAACAAAACAATATACTGTGTTGGTGTAGACGCTAATATAGCTATCATTACGGTTATCATGCCTGGTGTGAACAGACCTAAGTGCTTGACATTAGTGTAGTGGATCACATTTTGACATTCATTGCGATTCATCGTGCATTCATCCGTTGATTATAACAGTGTTGTGTTGCATTATGGTAATACTTGCAGTGCAGACAGTAGTATTGATTAGAATAGTTTTGCTGTGTCGTTCAGCTCGTGTGTTTAGCTGAAGGTTTACGCTGCTGCTAAACTGCTGGTAATAATTTGACATGCCAGACGCTGTTTAGCAGAAAGAAACTCAAGACAAACACAGTGTGTGAAAGGGGAATGGAGAACAGGATGGAGAGAAAGATAAGGAAAGAGAGAGAGAGAGAGAGAGAGAGAGAGAGGGGGAGAGAAAGAGAGAGAGGGAGAGAGAGAGAGCGAGAGAGAGAGAGAGAGAGAGCGATCAGGAAAGGAATGAAGGATGAAAAGAAATCCCAGAGTGGTGAAAAGAGCAGAGAAATGACTGAGGCAGATCAGACGAATAATGAAGCTCTAATCAAAGCCCTGCTCTCTCTCTTTCTCTCTCTCTCTGGTCTTGTTAAAGAGCAATTATTTATATACTGTAATTTCTCAGCGGTTTTCTTTACAATTGACGCCATACATCGTTTCATTCAATATTCATCAATTTATATATATGTATACATATTCACACACACACACACACACACACACACATACATACAGTTATACTATACGCATAAACACATTTCATTACACCAAATACACAAAATAATGTTCTTTTCATGACCCCTTTAAAAAACAAAAATGTAAAACTGTGAATATTCTATGATTCTTTCTATGAGTTTTCTATGTGAATATATGTTAAACTGTAATTTATTGCTGTGATCAAAGCTGAATTTTCAGCATCATTACTCCAGTCTTCAGTGTCACATGATCTTCAGAAATCATTCTAATATGCTGATTTGCTGCTCATGAAACATTTCTGATTATTATCAATGTTGAAAACAGTGCTGCAAATATTTTTGAGGAAACTGTGATACATTTTTTGAATAGAATGAAAAGAAAGAACAGCAGTTATTTGAAACAGAAATCTTTTGTAACATTATAAATTATGTAAGACATCATCCACCAGGAAATGACATCGTTTTGGAGGGAAAATGACAGTACAGACACCAGTAAGTATTAGTAAACTGAACAAACATCTTTCTGTCAAATGCTTTGCTCAAAAAGAGTTTTAGTGTCGTATCACTTTACAATAAATGACAGGTGGTTTAATATTCTGTTATTTAATCCAATTACTTTCATATATTTATAAGCGTGGAGTGTCCGGACAGTTTTTGGGGCCGCTGCAGCTCACTAGGGCTCCTTGTTGGAGGAATATGACGATGCCATGGTGACGGCCAACATAACATGAGCTGCTGATGCTTCACAGTTAGAAACACTCCGCGGTGTGTGTGTGTGTGTGTGTGTGTGAGAGAGAGAGTTGGAACAGAAGGAAATGAGGAATGAGACCACAGAACCCCTAAAACTAGGCAGTGGGGTGGTCTGTCTGGAATCTCTCTTACACACACACACACACACACACACAATCTCTGACCGCAGTCTTAGACAAACTTTAGCAATTAAGTATGTTAGTAATGTTACACACACACACACACACACACACACAATCTCTGACCGCAGTCTTAGACAAACTTTGGCAATTAAGTATGTTAGTAATGAAATCTTGAATAAGAGTGGAAGACAGTGGGAAACACACACACACACACACACACACACACACACACACACACACACACACACACTCACACACACACTCACTCACTCACTCACTCACTCACTCACTCACACACACACACCTTTAATTTCCTTGCTGTAAAGCTGAAGCATGTCATTTTTGCACCATATAAGCTTAACCAACACTCCGCCCATCTGTCATTGGTCAGTCAAAGAGTTAGCCACGCCCCATACGCATGCCATTGGTTGAGTCAGTGTTGCTGTGATGGGCTGGTCATGATCCTGCACAAACAGATCATGACAGCGTTACACTTTCTCTGAAATCATTTCAGCATTTCGAAGATCACACACTTAACCATTAATTTATATGAAACACTTATGAATGTTCACACTCACTCTATTAAGAACCAAAAAGACTTCAGCTGCTGATGCTTCACAGTTAGAAACACTCCACAGCACTAATAAAGATACTTTATACGATTTGTTAAAAAGCAGACAAATGTATATATGCGTGTGTGTATATATATCGCTTTTTTTCCCCCTTGCCTTTAAGAGCTCAGTCTAAACTCGTTAACAGCAAGACCTTTAGACCCTATTTTGCTATGAGATGACATATTTGGGTCAGTATTCAGTGGTTATTCAGATTATTTCAATGCAAACACACACTCTTGAGTTTACATGTGTTTCTCTCAGACATCAGTTCTCACTAATACTGCACTGTGTTCAAGATTTCACACGTTCTTATTTAGTTTGGCCTTCACACGCCATTCAGCAGGCGAGAGCCAGATCAAATCAATCTGATGACCTGCACAGAGGTTCATATATTCACATCGCAACGTGAGAAAATCAAAAAATCCTTTCGTGAAGTGTGATTTTATACGAGCTGACTTATGCAAACACTTTAAAGTAAGTTTATTTCACAAAATAACAAAGACTAGAACCTATAATTTGCAGTATATTCGTTTAAAAGTAACATGTATGTCACTCTAAGAGATGAAAATGTTTAATTCATTAATTTACTCACCCTCATGTCACTTCAATCCCATTGTCTTGTTCTGCGGGAAAAAAAAGATGTTTAACAAAATGTTCATGCTGCTCTTTTCAATGCAATGACAATAAATGAGGAGGCAGCATAATGTTGCTAAGTTGCTTGGCAACCATCAACATCATACAACTTATGAACTATACTAGTATAAGAACTATTTAAATAAAGATATTAATGATATGGCATTGCCACTGATTTAAAAGGGAGGGCAATTAATATTCAGAAATATTATCAAGACTGTACTGACAACTTTGGATTAGAACAAAACTTAAGCTGAATAATCACACTATTTTCTTCTTTACAGCTGCTTTATAGCTGAAATGGAATTTGTTTCATAACTGCTCGACTTTGCAACATTGACACTGTTATTGAACTGAATTGAGCTGAATAACGACACTACAGTCTTCTGTGGAGCTGCTTTACTGCTGACATGTAGATGAAATCAGCATTAACACTGTTATTTTCCTGTTTATTACGGTCAAGCTGCTTTGAAACAGTTTGAATTGTACTGTATAAAGCGCTATGCTGCAAAAACAAAATTATTTTCTTAGTATTTTTGTCTTGTTTTTCAGTACAAATTTCTAAACGTTCTTAAATCAAGATACATTTACTCGAGAAACAAAATGTAATAATATTAAAATATTATAAATAAAATAAAATATTAAAAATAAAAATAAAAAATAAGAAAATCAAGTCTTGGATATTAATATATTACGGGTTTTTTTCTGAACATTTTTAAATTAAATTTTAACTTTATTTGTATTTTACTCTGTCTGTTTCTACCTTTTTATAGATATATTTTTTAATATATATAAGTGTAACAGTAATTTGACTATATTGTAAATTTCGTCTATCTGTACATTCTAGTTAATACCCTTGTTCTTTTTTAATTTATACCTTCATTTTTAATTTTTGTAACGGAGTGGTCGTAAAAAAGCATTTCACTGCATGCCATAGTATGTATGGTTATGTATGTGACAAATAAAATTTGAATTTGAAAATAATTGCCTTAATGTTACACTGAGTAAGTGAGTTTATACTTAATAAATACTTCATAAAATCAGCCAATCGGGGTAAGAAAAATAAACGTTAAAGGGAAAACTTTTTTCTTGTTTTAAGCATAAACTCAATTAATTTTGAAAATAATTTCAAAAATAAATCATTTTTCAGAAAATAATACTTCTTACCTTATTTCATTTTGCATCTCAAGTAAATGTATCTCGATTTAAGAATGTTCAGATATTTGTACTGGAAAACAAGACAATAATACTGAGTAAGAAAATCATTTTTGCAGTGTATATATAAAGTAAAAAGGATTTGACTTAACAAATTCAGTCGTTTTGGGACACAATGATCAGAAAAATACATTCTGCATTTAACAGGCTATTGAAAGCATTTAACCAATGTGAGGAATTCAGAGGATTTTAGGACCACACACACACACACACACACACACACACACACACACACACTGTAGGGGGGACTGAAAGGACTGTTCTGCCAGAGATGAGAGTATGAGAGTAGAAGATTTTGCCCACGCCAGCAATGTCAGCCAGAATATCACAGAGAGAGAGAAAGAGAGAGTATGTATGAAAAGAGAACGAGGATGTGCATGTCAAAAGAGGATAGCGAGCGATTAGTTGTTTGTGTGTGTGTGTGTGTGTGTGTGTGTCAGCGTGCTGTGATGAATGCGTCTTTGTCTGGTTCACGTGGCAGGGATGGGCGCGCGTGACCCCTGACCCCCAGCAATGGGGCAACACTTGACCGCGGGAGACAATGAAGAAGAGCTGCGTTTAGCAGATGTAGAGAGAGAGAGAGAGAGAGTAATCTCAATTACTCCCTACATCATATCACTGCCGCCTCGCTGTCAATCAGAACTGAGCTAAAACACATCAGTTAATCAACACAGCAGTCATAATCATTTAATCAATAGCATGATCACAAGCACTGTATACAGTATTCACGCTGTCAATGATCTATTTCATTATAATGACCTTCTGACAGGAGAAATCAACCCTCTTTACCATGGTAATTATTATTATTGACAATTAAGTCACTCAAATTACTTTCATTTTTATGTTTCTATATCTTATATACAGTTCAAACGTTTAAGGTCAGTAAGATTATATTTTATTTTATAAAGAAATTAATACTTTTATTCAGCAAGGACACATTGATCAAATGTGACAGTGAAGACATGTATAATGTTGCAAAAGATTTCTATTTCAAATAAATGCTGTTCGGTTGAACTTTCTATTCATTACAGAATCCTGAAAAAAAAGCATTATGACTTCCACAAAAATATTCATTTTCAACACTGATAATAATCAGAAATGTTTCTTGAGCAGCAAATCAGCATATTAGAATGATTTCTGAAGATCATGTGACACTGAAGACTGGAGTAATGATGCTGAAAATTCAGCTTTGATCACAGAAATAAATTACATTTTACTATATATTCACATAGAAAACAGCTTTTTAAAATTATAATAATATTTCACAATTATTACTGCTTTTACTGTATTTTTGATCAAATCAATGCAGCCTTGGTGAGAAGAACAGAATTCTTTCAAAAACATAAAAAAATACAAAAAGGTATATGTCATCATAATAAAGATGTATTATAAAAGCAATAAACCGTGAAAGGCTATGCATTACTGTGATTGTACCATGATTAAGAGTTGTTTGTGTTGTTAGGTGTTTGGTGCCTGACATAATAAAATCATTGTAATACACAATTCAAGTAGGCAGTAATATGATAAAAACACCAATGTTTATTTATTAATCCTAAAGATTGATAATTTAATTATTTTAAGTTTAATTATTTAAATTGTTTAAATTATCATTATAATAATATTCAAATTATTATAATAATTTAATTATTATTATTATTTAGAACAAATTTAACTGCAGAATGCAGTGAATAGAATCAAGTATTCCAGAGAGCTGAATAGCAATAACAGCACATAACTGTTTAACTTATATGTGGTAACTCACAGGATTATTTCTGGCTGTCAGACGAATGACAATTTACACATTGACAAGACCTTGTCTCAGACGACCACCGGGACAAGACCACAGGAACCAGATGAGTCCTCTGTTCACGTATTAGTTTATTACAAATTTGACTGCAGAATGCAGTGATTAACCAATCAGCATCAAGTATCCCAGAGAGGTGAATAATAATAACAGCACAGAACTGTTTAAGTTATACGTGGTAACTCACAGGATTATTTCTCTCTCTGTCAGACGAATGACAGTTTACACATTCACACCATCAGACACACAAGTACAGAAACTGAGGACGTTTATATGACCAGAACTGATCCTGAAGAAATACAGTAATGTCTGGCAGCTGACAAAGAGACAGAGAGAGAGAGATGATAAAAGTGACCACACAAAGGAATGCTGTGGGTGAGCGGACAGAGAAATGAAATATCTGCTCATGTAAATGCTCCTTTCTACGTCTGTCCATCTGTCTGTCTGTTCCAGCGGTGACGGCGTCAGTCCTCAGCCTGTTTGTGTCTCGTGTTCTCAATAGTCTATTGTGGCGAGGAACAGACGCGCGTCCTTGGTGCTCGGGCTCCAGCGCTGCTGGGTGGGAGAGACAGAGAGGAGGTTCTGGCTCCAGTCAGCCTTCATTCACAATCACACACACACACACACACAACAATCCGCGCCACTCAAGTATGCAGACAGATCCGAATGCCGCTTATCCAATCAGATTTCAGAGCAGGAAATGTTTGCTTTATCAAGAATGTTTTGGAACACAGACTGCATCCCACAATGCAATGTGATCAAATCTCGTGTGATGCATGAGACGGCTGAAATCCGATATGTTCAGTAAAAATAATAGCATGTAACAATAAAGATTTTTAAAAAGTAGCTTGCTACATTGTTGCCACATGTCGTCAACATTATGCATGTTTAATTATGAAAGTGGCTTCAATTTATAATCTCAGATTTAAATAATTTATTTCCATAATATTAATAATAAATAAATAAATAAATAAATATAAAAGAAAATTTAATATAGTAATAATAATTTAATAATAATAAAACAAAAAGTATTTCAATATATTAATCATAAAATAATTTCAAAATAATTAAATGATAAAATAATAATAAAAAGTATTAATATTTATATTAGAAATTTTTTTTTTACATTTATTTTAATATAAAAAATACTTAAAGTATTTAAATCTGAGATAATAATTTAAAGTCACTTGCTGATTTTAACAAAAATGTAGCAAACTACTGTTTGAAATTTAAATTTTTACATGCTGACAAACTTTTCACATACTTAGTAAAAAGTGGTAGAAAAATAGTCAGTATACTGTATATACTGTGCACTGCATGATATTCCAAACACTGGCTGTGAATCGGTGATGAGCTGCATTTTGAAAGAGTGAAAAAGAGACAGTTTAAGTTAAAGTGATGTTGAAGGCTGATGCTGTTTTCTCATCTCGGTCTGTCAGAGAGACAGAACACACACACACAAACACACTGAGTGGGAAATGCGAACAGCGGTGTGCTGACAGCGCTCACCGTCACACTGTTTTTAGGAGACAGGAAGCTGTTATTCACAGCACGTCAATTCATGCGGTCACGCTCCTGCCTGCATCATATTCACACGCCATGAGAGAGAGAGTGTGTGTGTGTGTGAGTGTGTGTGTGAGTGTGTGTGTGTGAGTGTGAAGGAGCCATACAGAAAGGATGAAATGCTCTTTGTCATTCTGGATCTTTTCCACTCATTATCATATCATCTATAATTGAGAGTTTAAATGAAAAAGTTAGAAAGAGGAGAATCTATATATAAAAAAAAAGAATAGAAATGGTTCACTACACAAGAGGTTGACTTGCATGTGTAAAAGGAACAGCTCTCTCACTGTTCACTCACCCTCACTGTCTTTGTTTTCTTGAACACAAACGGAGATGTTTAGCAGGATGTTCACGCAGCTCTTTTCCATGCAATAATGACCAGCATCTGCTAAACGAACAAAACGAACAAAAAAATGCCACAAACTTCAGATACAGACTGAAATTTAAGTTGTAATTTGCTGAAAATGTCAAAAGAATAAACAGTATTTAACAAAATACTTATTTCACTATGAAAAGAGAACACATAAAAACCATACAGGGACTTCTAAACAAACTAACAAAGAAAAAAATGAGAAATTTGGCCTTGGTGACTAAAATAAGTTTAAAGGGGTCATATGATGTTGCTAAAAAGAACATTATTTTGATAGTAACACTGTAAATCAAATGCATATATGGTGAAACCTGTGTTTTATAGGAACACAGACTAAACAAACCTTCGCGCGCGAGGACTTGTATTGCGCGTAGAGGACATGTCACGCGCGCGCGAGGGTTTGAAATGAGCTCGTGGGCTCCCGTTTCCTCGCGTGTGAATCCGTTTTGCGCAGAGGCCGGGGGCTAGAGTGAGGAACGGCCGGAGGGCTAGAGTGAGCAGAGGCCGGGGGCTAGAGTGAGGAA